GATTCAGTCCCCAGCTGAGAGGTCAGTCTATTTGTGATAATTTAATTACCTCTGCCAGTGATTGGGTTAAGTCTGAATATTGGACTCCTCAGGCCTATTTGTGAGAATTTACTAAAGGGCTTCTGGAAAGCGCTTCTTGTTCCTAAAAAGAGACCCAGAAAAAGACCGTTTCTTTCTTAGTTGATTAAACCAGGGGTTGGCAAACTTTTTCTGCAAAGGGTTAGATAGCAAATATTTTAGCTTTTGTAGGCTATAAAGTTTCTGTTACAACTCTGCTGTTGCAGCATGAAAGCAGCCATGCACAGTATCTAGACAGATGAGTGTGGCTGCGTTCCGATAAAACCTTACTTATGGACACTGAAATTTGAACTTCATGTTATTATCATGTGTCATTAAATATCATTCTTTTTTTTTTTTTTAACCATTTAAAAATGTGAAGACCATTTCTAGCTCATGAGCCAAATAAAAACAGATGGGCCAGATTTGGCCTAGATGAGACCACGACAACATCCCTGTTTGGAGTGTCTTCCCAGACCCTTTTCTGTAGAAACTTCCCACAGGACTGTGGCTCCTGGAATCTACATTTATGTAATTTGACTCCATCCTTACTCCAGTCATTACTGGAGCAGTGATGAATGAACATGTGACCCAAGATAGACCAATCAGGATCTAACGCCAGAAAACTTGAGTTTGGTACTAAAATAGCCCAGCTCAGGGAAGAGATTAAGTTTATCATTAAGTACCTGACACCTAGCACACTGCTTGTGCCATAGTGAGTCACAGATATTTGTTGGATGAATGAATGAGTGAATAAATGAATATTAGGCTGAGTTCCTAAATGAAAGAAATATAAAATTGAGTGTTGCAGGGTGACCACCACCCATCTCCCAAGTGGATCCAAAAATCTCCTAAAAACACAAATATGGTCTGTGGCTCCCTGGAGGTTTTCGTTTGCAACCCCTGTGTGGAGGCAAGGAAATATGCCGTTCTCTAGATTAGCAAGCTTTTTCTATTTCTGGCATTCTTTGGACAAAAATCAAAGATCTGTCTCTCTTGACTGAGTTTTTCATTTTTCAGCACAGTACATTGTAGAAATAGCCTGACTCTGATCATCATCCCACCCTTTAAAGCACAGTTCTTTATTAAATACAAGCTAAAGAATAAAAATGATGACACAGTTTGTGAGAACCAGTGCAAAAGTAAAACACAGGGCTGCTTGTTCAAATAGCATTAAGAATGTCAAGATGGCGGCAGGACATCTTCAACCAAGCATGGAGCCCCATAATGATTGAGGCCCTGGGTGACTGACTGCACAGGTCATATGCCCATGAAGCTGTCCCTGTTGAAGAAGCCAAGGGAGCCTGTCCTAGGAAGATTTGCCAGTCATTAATGCTTAAAGTAAAAGCCATCTGTTATCATCTTGATTGGAAATCCAAATGACCCTCTGCCTCCCAAAATGTCTTTCTTCTGCTTCCCAGCACTTTCCTCTAAATGTTATCACAGCTGGGAATGTGAGGGTCCGCTGCTCTGGTCAATCTAGTTTTAAACTTTATTTTTTATCTACATTTTCAGATTATACAAAACATGGACAGTGGACTATTTTAAAGGCACATGAAGTAGAAAAAAAACTAACTACTCTAACATCACATTTGTCCCCAAACCAAGATTCAGATTTAGCCTCTAGGCCTGTCCCTAGCATTTTACCATTACCGCTGCCTCTCAGTACACACATTGGTACACTTTGCTGGGTTGTAAACAACCTTTAAACTGTTAGCAAGTGGAGTTAGTTCCCCACCCAGGCAGATCTGAAACTCTGATACACCATCCAAGGAGGCGACTGTGTTTGGTGTATTTACACATGGGCTTGGGGTTTCAGGTTTCTTCATCATCATTTAATGCTAAGCACCCTAACTTGATTTTGTTCATCAGGGCTGGCAGCCAGGTGAGCAACACGGAGCAGGGAGTGTATAGGAAACGAGGTGGTCCCCAAGTTCTCCGGATGCAGGGGCGTGGACGTACATTCACGCAAAGCAACAAGACACACACTTTCCAGACTGATTGGAACAGAGACCCAGAGCAATTTTAATGCAAATAACAAAATGAGTTAGTGTGTCTTCATCATGTAGCCCCTCAATGAAAGAATTACAGTACTTTATAAAAATGTCATATAATGCACAAACTACAGTTCCTTCAAATACGGTTGTCACCAGAGTAAGGTAATGTGTTTGGTCCTAATGTTTGGTTCTTGGATGTCTTAGCTAATTTTTTTTTTTCTTTTGCATAACTTGATAACTGATGATAAGCATCAAGAGAGGGCTGAGCCTACATATAGGTAAGAAGATTAGGTGTTTTCTCTCTGACACCATCAACTTTTCCCCCACTTTCCAAATGTGTGTCACACACACAGTGGGGAAAAGGCATCTCTCACGTCTCAAAGAACCTCAGCATCCCAGGCAGATGCCAGCACTGGGTGCTGTATGGCATGACCACCAGCCAGGGAAATCCATAGGGTCATTTTGGATTGAAATATTCATGCACCCCAAAAGTTTTGTGAAGGGGATTCACGCATTGTTCATGGGTTAGGGTTTCCAGATCTGGTGTTGTTTGTTTGCTTGTTTGTGTCCATTGTGACTGCTAGAAAATTCTAGAAAAGCCACCTGGGTAGACTGCTTGGGGGCACTTTAGACCCCACTTCTTCCATGAGGCTCACTCAGTATCCTGCCACCTCCAGGACTTTGATCACACTCCTGCCACAGCATGTCTAATGACACTTCTCCATGGAGGCAGGAAGTGACAGTGTGTCCTGTCTCTATCCCTATATTACCATCAACTGTACAAATAACCTCTCCACAGGGAAGGGATCCCATCTTTGAGGCTCCAAACTCCATGAGGGAAGGGAGGACATCTGAATTTGCTCACCTCAATATTTTCAGAACCTCACATAAGTGCCTGGAGGATAGTGAGCATTCCGTACTTTTTGCTGAAAATGAATGAATGAGTGAGCAAGTGAGCAGATGGAGAGAGAACCCAATCCTATACTGAAAAGGGGTCCAAAAACTACTCAAATTAGACATCTCCCCAGTTCCATTGGAACTGGAGTGATGGCAAAACATCACTCCGCTTAACAGAAGGTCGAGTGCACAGAAGGTCGAGCATTTAAATAGCACTAGTCCTGAGATGTGATGGACCAGTTACATCTCCCCAGCAACATGCTCCAAACACAAGAGGAAAAAGACATTGAGGTGCAGAGACCTGCTTCCCTAGGACACTTCCTGGGGTCATCTGCATTGCCAGGGCTTTTATACCTTAAGACAAACTCCCAAATACCATATTTCTCAGTGTAGTCTCAGAATCGCCTGGCCTGCTCCTTAATGATGTTGTCAGGCTTCCCCAGATTCTGCCAAATCAGATTCTCCCACTAAAGCTTCAGAACCTCAGCTCTTTGGGACCCTTTCACTTCTTCAGAGAAGGAAGTGTTCTCCGAGTATAACACAGATGGGCACTGCCCAGGAAATGCCAGCTGCAGAAGCTGAATGGAGCTCTATTGAGGGGCATTTACAAAGAGGCGCATATAAAGCAGGTTCCCGCCCGCCCCGTGGGCTTCTGTTCTCATTCTGTGGTTGGGTTCTCTGCAGCCTTCGCCACAATTTGTAATTATTTTTCTTAATTGGTTTTTAATCTGTCTCCTCCACTAGACTCAGAGCCTCGTGAGGAGAGAGGCTGTCCCCTGTGCCTGGCACAAAGCCAGCACTGGTTTCTGTTGATGGATGGATGGTGGATGGGTCATCTGATGCCCCAGTAGTAGGGGACATTAGAGGTCACTGGCCTTGGAATACATGGCAGGGAGAGAAGGGAGAGGCTTTCCAGACTAAGGTGGGAGGAGGTGGAGTGTGTGACCATAGGGGTATATGACCAGGAACTGATGTAAACAGCTGTGGAAGAGACAGCAAAGACTAAAGGCCAAGGTTTTGACCTGTAGTGGGGTCTAGACCTACCTCCTTACCTCCCTTGGGCCTCCTGTTCCCACTTTAATGTACCTAAGCATCACCCAAGGAGCTCATTGTAAATGCAGAGTGCTGGGGGAGGGGGCGGTCTAGCCCTGAAGACTCTGATTTAGTAGGTCTGGGCAGGGGCCCTATAGTTTGCCATCGAAAAGGTACCCTGGGGATCACCTTTTGAGATTGCCTTAGGATAAGCCTAAATCTGAAACCCAGGGTAAGAGTCACCTTCCTGAAGGCAAGCAGGTTTGGGTGGTTCTTATCCCACAGAAGGAGCTCTGGTGGCGAGGTTGCTAACGCAGTCAGCTGCTAACCAAAAGTTGGTGGTTCAAATCCACTCTGCAGAATATGAGGCAATCTGCTTCTGTGAAGATTTACAGCCTTGGAAACCCTATGGGGCAGTTCTGCTCTGTTCCTACAGGGTCTCTATGAGTCGGAATCGACTCCATGGCAGAGGGTTTGGCCTGGTCTGGTCTTATGCCATCAAATCTCAGACTATTATTATAGGAGCGTTGGGGCTCTGGTTTGGAAAGAGACTGCCAGGCGCTTCAACTGTGTCTCAATTGGAGACTTGGACTGAACAGTTGAGGAGGTTTGCACCCCTCACCTGAGCTCCTCCTGAACCCCCACTTCTACCACCAACACAGGGCAAGGTGAAGGGCCGGGAAGGGCGGCCAAGGTGAAGAAGGATGACCCCAGATACCTGGCTTTCTTGGTCTCTTGCTACATCACATCCACATAGTTAAGAATCATCTTGCTGAGCAAACTGGATTGTTGGCATTGTCTCATTGAGACTTTGAGAAGGGTGGCTCTGAATCCCAGCCTTCGGAGTCTATGATCTGATTTCAAGAATGCAAAACAAAACAAAACTCCTTGCTTGGCTTTAAAAGGAAACAATATGTTTGCTAGAAAAACCACAAAAAAAAAAAAAAAGATTATATACAAAAAGGTTACTAGAGCGTGGATTCTGTACTGCAGGGAACGCAACCCGGTGCTGGGGTTTTATTTGCGCTTCCTCAGTATTAGGTACATGATGCCACTGATGAAGGTGCAAGCAAAGGCCACCCAAGCCAGGGTGAAGGCATAGCCATATCTGCCCTCTGACATCAACTCCTGGGGGTACAGCTCTGTGTTCTTGAGGTGAAGGTCCTTGCGCCGATCTGTGTAAATGGAAGCTGCAATCATGACACACAGGCCTGCCAGGGAGAAAGCAAAGGGACAAATGAATCGTGGACCAACGTGTGTGATGGGCACCTGAGGGGCATGCAATGGAGCGGAAGACACCCTACACTTTTATCCTGATTAGGTCGTTATCTTAGCCTACTGGGGTCTTTGGGTGGCATACAGGGAATGTGCTGGGCTGCCAAGGGAAGGGTTGGAGGTTGGTGTCTGCCCAGAAGGGCCGCCATAGAAAATCCTGGCAATCTCCGAAAAATCAGCCCCTGAAAGCTCTCTGGAGTGTGATTCTGCTCTGACACCCACGAGATCACCAGGAGTCAGGGTCAACTTGACAGCAACTGATACTGGTCACTTAGCCTATTAGGAAAAGTGCAGCTAATAGTTTGTAGCAGACTGTTGCTACCCATCTTGGAACCATTTCCCTCTGCATTCTTCTAGGTAACCCAATTTTGGGAGGCAGCCATGTACCCAGCCCAGAGGATAGCTGCACTAAGCCAGGGGTAGGGCAGATAATATTTGGGGCTTTGCGAGCCATACGGTCTCTGTTGCAACCACTCAACTCTGCTGTTGTAGCAAGAAAGCAGCCCTAGACAGTGTACACGAATGATCCTGGCTGTGTCCCAATAAAACTTTATTTACAAAGGCAAGCAGCGAGTTGCCAATGCCTGGTCTAAGCCCACCTTAGCATTCCCATTCTCCTTTGCTCATTATGGTTTATGGATCTGTAATATGTTCCAGTTGGGGCCACATAACATCCTTCAGTGGGAAATCTCACTCCTTGAAGAGAGATAAGGGAGGAGAAAGCATTGGTTGCTGTACTTTCCCTTGCTTGCTGCTTTAGATACTGTCACGTCAGGATGGAATTTCTGGTGCTGCAGCAGCCTTTTTGGGCCCATGAGGGGGACATCACCAACACTCTGAAGATGATGAAAAGATGGAAGGAGGGAGGGCTCTTGATGCTGTTTTGCTGCCAAACCAACTCTGGCACCTTCCATCTCCAGGCTAATTGTTATTATAAAAAGAGCTCACCATTTATGACCAAAGTAGTTGTTGATTGAATTTGCTTTTACTTGCAGCCATGACAGTCTTGAGACTCACAGACAGTAGTGCTAGGATGAGGTTAAGGGCCATGATTGTCCCTGAGGAACTGCCCCTCTCCCTGGCCAGGTTCTTTGGCTGGGGGCTGTCAACAGGGTGCTCAGACCTTCTCTGACCATGTGAGATAGTCTTTGCCAATCAGACTCTCTTCCCTGGAAATTTGAATCTAGAGGAAAGAGACACTATCAGAGATTCTAACAGCATCTCCCTGAAGCGACTGCCCATCATGTCTGCTGCATGGATCCTCTTTCTAAGACCTGCTGTTTCAGTTTTCCCTCTGATTCCTGCCTTGAGCTACCCCCAGAATCCCATCTCTTAAACAAGCTGGAGTGCCGGGTGCTCACCCTGAAAATCCTTCCCTCATACGGCACCTGAATGCTATGAGGGCTTGGAGCAGACAAAGGAAGGAAAGGTCCTTGGGCCAGAACTGGAGAGAGTGAAGTATTACAGAAGGAAAGGGGGGATATGACTCTCATATCAAAATATGGGGAATACCCCCCCACACACATATATATTGTTAAGTGCTGTCGAGTCAGTTCCCACTCATAGCGACACTGTGTACAACAGAATGAAACACTGCCTGGTCCTGCACCATCCTCACGTCACACAGCCACTGTGTCGGTCCGTCTTGGTGAGGGTCTTCCTCTTTTTGCTAACCCTCTATTAAGCATGATGTTCTTCTCTGAGGACTGGTACCTCCCGATAACATGACACTGAGCTGGCTCTAACTCCTGGGGACCTTATGTATAAGAACAAAGTGCTGTCTGGTCCTGTGCCATTTTCATGATTGTCGGGGTCCTGTTATGTTTGACTCCATTGTTGTGGCTACTGTGTGTGTCTATGTATCGGTGTGTGTATAAAGGAGCTCTGGGTGGCGCAGTGCCTAAGGCATTTGACTGCTAACCAGAAGCTTGTGTGTGTGTGTATGTGTGTGTATGTATTGGTTGTTAGTTGCCATTGATCCTGACTCATTGTGATGCCAAGTATGCACATATATACACACATTTTCCCTGATACATGTACACACACACACACACACACATATATTTATGTATGTATTTGTATGTCTCTAATGGTAATAAGTTTTGACCAAATTGCCTTACAGGTGAATGGATAAGTGGAGACAATGACAGAAAATAACCTTCAGTTACTAACCCCCAAGTCCCCTCCCTGCATGTTAAGTGACAGGATTTGACTGCCTTGAATGGGTGAGTAGCGGGGGTGTTTGTGCCTCTGACTGAGAGACACAGAGAAGATAAGGAGATCTGGAGAGCAGACTCCTCATCATGACCCAGCTGGGACCCTTGGGCACATCACAGCACCTTAGCCCATGGAGTCTGGGGCACTGATCCCCAAACACTGGCCTGTGCACAGGAGATTTTTTAAAGTACACCTCATGTCCCAGTGTGGCGCATTCTGATTCAGGAGGTCTGAAGCGTGGTGAACAGGTTCCAGTGGAGCTTCCAGACTAAGACAGACTAGGAAGAAAGGCCTGGTGACTCAACTTCTGAAAGTCAGCCAATGACAACCTTATAGATCAGAAGAGAGTATCGTTGGCTATAGCACTAGATGGGAGCTCTGATGGCGTAGTGCCTAAGGCATTTGACTGCTAACCAGAAGGCTGGTGGTTCAAACCTACCAGCTCCACCTCGGAAGGAAGGTTGGGCAGTCTGCTTCTGTAGTGATATCACCTTGGAAACCCAAGGAGGGGTCTCTGTGAGTCAGATCCAACTCGACGGCAGTGTTTGGTTTTTTTGGTTGGTTATAGCGCTAGAAGATGAGCCCTCTAGGTTGGAAAACCGGAAAACACCAAACTCACCATCGTCGAGTTGATTCAACTCATAGCAACCCCTCCTAGGGTTTCCGAGGCAGTATCTCTAAAGAAGTAGATTGCCCAATCTTCCTTCCAAGGAGTGGCTGGTGGGTTTGAACCGCCAGCCTTCTGGTTAGCAGTCAAATGCCTTCGGCACTATGCCACCAGAGCTTCTTCTAGGTTGGAAGGCACTCAAAATATACAGTGACCACAAAAGTGGATTCAAACATCAATGATTGTGAAGATGGTGGACTGTGTTTTGTTTCTGTTGTGCATGGGGTTGCTACGAGTTGAAGCCAACTCTTTGGCAACTAACAACGACAGTCTACTTTAAAAGGTCCCCAGAGGGGTCCTCATAGACTTGGGCAATCACAGGACTGAGTGACCTTCTAGTCTTTCTCATTCCAAATGCTTTGATTCTCTGCCAAAAGAAAATTAAGGCCCTGACCCGGTAGTGGAGCCTACACCCCACAGGGGTGGCACTGTAGCCTTCCAGCTAACATGATCCATGGGGAGCATTGGAGGTGACCAACCATCCCAAAAGGTTCCTGTGATCAGAGACTTTCTGTTTTAAAACTGGGACAGTCCCAGGCAACTGGGATGGGTGGGTCACCCTCATGCTGGTGGCTGTGCTTGGGCTGTGCCAAGGGACAGCCAGTGGGGACTGGACTCCAGGCTGGGTGGAACAGAGCCTGGGCATGATTACAGCAAGGCCACGGACTGACTCCAAGTCCCAGATTTCCTGTCCTCATTAAGCTACCCAGGAACTTTTGATCGGAAAGTACCATGGAAAAGCCTTCTCATTTTATGTCATCAGGAAGTTTGGAATCTTTCTCGGGAACAGCAGCAACAAAATGACCACATGTGGCACAGGTGTCCTCAGGCGAGTGCAGCCTGGCCAGTGTTCCCAAGCGGGAAAAAGGGGACTGAGACAACAGCATGTTCTCCAGGTTCCTCCAGGATTAAGGCTGGGTCTTGTTCATCACCTGCAGCACCTGTCCAGGCCTGGCCCAACATGGACAGGTCTGCCACCACCCAGCCTAAAACCTGCTGCTGTCTTCCCAATCCTTCCCAGTCCTGTCCCTGGTCTCCAAGACCCTGCAGGATCTGAGCCACCTACCTCTCCAGCCCAGCCTCCTCCATGCACCCCCAGCCCCCTCCACATGCCCCTAGGCCCTCCGTGCACCCTAACTCCTGCCACACCCCCCCATCTCCTTCCATGTGCCCCCAGCCCCTTCTACATGCCTCCAACCCCTGCCACATGGCCCAGCTTCTGCTGTGCTCCCATCTCCACATTCCAGCACACTGGCTGGCTTTCAGCCTCTCTCAGCACACAGTCATGTTGATCCCATGGCCTGGCACATTCTCCTCTCTACTCTGTGCCAAGAGAGAACGTTCTAGACCACTCCTATTCATCCTGCAGATCCCAGGTCAGGCCTCTGTCTCCCAAATCATCCCCTCCCATCCTCCTCCTGGCTTCTCCTGGGTGGGGAGCAGGGGACCGGGAGGAAGAACTTCTGCAGGCAGCTATCAGTTTACTTACAGGACATGAGCTGGATGATGGAGGTTAAGACGAATCGGTCTCCTTGCTTGAGGCGGAAGAGCTGGAGCACGAAAATCAGGAAGGCAATGCAGCAGAGAATGGTGGAAAGGATCATGGTGGCCTGGACGGCCTGCAGGGTGGTGTACTCTGCCAGGAGAGGACAAGAGCGCACGGTGAGGGCAGCAGACCAGCCCGGCCCCTTGGGCTTCCATCCCCATGACACCTCCAGAGTGGGGGTAATAGGATGCCAGAGTGCAAGGGTTCCGGTGGTCCTCTGCACAAGGGCAGCCAAGGGGACTAGACCCACCGCCCTCTAGTGTCCACTTGTGCACTTGACCTGGGGGGGGGGCACCCAACATCCTTACTGGAAAATGGGGCAAAACACCACCTACTCTGCACCCTTCCTGGGGCTGCAAGACCACGGATCAGAAAGGGCTCCACGGACAGCATATTTATAATATAAGAGGGTTAGACCACCCTTTAGGAAAAGAAAGTGAGTTCCTGTTTTCAGACCAGCCTTAACAGAGACTCGGGTTGGGGGTCTGGGCTCCACATAGGGGAGTTTTGGTGGAGAAAGATCTGGGGTGGAGGGTGCTGTGTGGAGGGGAGGGGCAGCTGAAGTTCCCACGGGGCTGAGCAGAGAAGTGACCGAGCGTGGGCTGGGAAGCCACCTGCACCTCCTCTGTAAAGGGATGCTGATGGTCCCGCCTCGTCATGTTGGGGGGGTTAAGTGATCTCCTCTCCACGAAGTTTTAGGGGGATGCTGCAGGGAGGGGATCCCACGTAACTGCTGGGGGTTATCACCAGGACCCTGCTAGGATGGGGTGACAGGACAGCACCCAGAGCTGCAGAGGCAAACTCTCTTGGTTTTTGTTTTGTTTGCAGTTTTGCCTGAAACTGTAGGGAAACATCACCTGTAAGTCTTTCAAGTGCTTAGCGCGGCGGGTCTCAATGCATCCTGGGTGCACGTTTGAGTCACTTGGAGGACATCTAAACCCTGACTCCTTATGGTGAGTGAAAGAAACCAGACTCCTCCCTCTCTCACAAATGCACACTGTGGGACCCCAGTTATGTGATGTCTAAGAACAGGGGAACTACATTCTAGTGACAGAAGGCAGAAGTGGTTGCCCTCCGGATAGGGGGTGGTGGGGACTGGCTGCAAGGGACCTGAGGGACCTTCCTGGTGGTGGCCATGTTCTGTATCTTGTTTGGATTGGTGGTTACATGGGTGTATATAACTCAAAACTCATTGACCTGAACCCTTAAGACATGTGCTTTTTCTTGTATGTAAATTATACCTCCATTACAAAAAAAAAAAAAGCAACAAACATTCCAGCCAGGTGGCTGCCCCAGTGAAATCAACCAGAGTCTCTGACCAGGCATGAGTGGTTTTTGAAGGGCCCCAGAATTCCAGTGTTGGCCAAAGATGTGACCCTCTGACTGAAAGCAGTGCTTCCCAAGTTTGTGTGATCCCAGAATTTTTGTTAAAAGTACAGATTCCGAGACCTTTCCCCCTCGAGAGCCTGTTACAGGCTTTACGGGGTGGGCTTGGGAATTTGTATTTTTAGTAAACACCTCCAGTGACCCCTGTGATAGGGCAGATGCGAGAAATACGGCTTTAGGGAAGAAATAAGGAGCCCGGGTGGCACTCACCAACCCACGCTGTGGCTGCACGGTAGGAAGACCCGGCGACCTGCTCCCATCAAGGTTACAGCCTAGAAAACCCTGGGGGGCAGTTCTGCTCGGTCACGTGGGTCACTGTGTGCTGAAATCAGCTCAGCGACACCCAACAATCACAACAGGGGAAAATACGGATATTTTTTTCTTTTTAAAGGGGTACATGTGTGCAGTATACCACTGATGGCATGTGCAACTAGTTAGGTGGTACCCAGTCCTGGCACTGGAGATGGAAACTCACTTAATGAGGGAAGCTCACTTTGTCCTTTTTGTTTAGATGTTCCTAATGGACTCAGAAGGAGCTCTGGTAACATAGTGCCTAAAGCACGTGGCTGCTAACCAGAAGGCTGGCAGCTCAAACCCACCAGCCACTCCTCGCAAGGAAGGTTGGGCAATCTACTTCCATAGTGATACTGCCTCGGAAACCCAAGGAGCGGTCACTATGAGTCGGGTCCAACTCAATGGCAAATAACAACAACAACAACAAATGGACTCACAGGAAGCCTGATGGTGCAGTGGTTAAGTGCTTGTCTGTGAATCAGTAAGTCAGCAGTTTGAACCCACCAGCCACTCCATGGGAGAAAGATGAGGCAGTCTGCTTCTGTGAAGACTGACAGCCTTGTAAAGCTTATAGGGCAGTTCTACTCTGTCCTCTAGAGGCACTGTGAATCAGAATCTACTCCATGACCATGGGTTTGGTTTGGGCTTTGCTTCCATAAAGATTTAAAGCCTTGGAAACCCTATGGGGCAGTTCTACTCTGTCCTATAGGGTCACTATGAGTCAGAATTGACTCAATGACAGTGGGTTCAGTTTTTGGTTTTAATGAAGTCAAGGAGGGGGGCTCCACTTGGCACTTTAGCACTTTCATCACACTGGTTTGTGGTTTTGTTTTGTTTTTGTTTTTTTAACAAGGAAAGAACTCAGCAGTAGGCTTAGAACCCTCAGGAGGAAAGCATGTTTGGTTAGACTTTAATAATATCATTTGGTTTTCAATGTAATGTTTCTTTTTAAAGTCTTTCTTCTTTTATGCAAAGTGATACCGGCTTATCATTCACAGCATGGATGTAAAATTCCCTTTAAAATAAATTTATATAAGGAAAAAGTGCACTGTTTAACACTAGGGGCAGCAAACTTTTTTCTCTAAGTGGCCAGAAAGCAAAGATGTCAGGCTTACTGATACTTCCTACAACGTGGATGAACCTTAGGCATGATATACTAAATGAAAAAAGCCAAACACGAAAACGTTGTGTGGTTCTACTTGTATAAGTATCTCGAATAGGCAGATCCATAGAGACAGAAAGCATATTGGTGGTGGCCAGGGGCTGGGGGGTTTGGGCAAGATGGAAAGTGACAGTTAATGGGTATAGAGTTTCCTTTCAAAAATGTTCTGGAACTAGATCGAGGTGGGGGTTGGCACAACATAGTGTGCTAAATGCTACTGAGCTGTGCACTTAAAGATGGTTCATTCTACAAAATTAAAAACAAACAAACAAACCAGGCTTACTGGTCAGATAGAGACTAGCGAAACCCCTGAGACTATGTGCTCAAGTCACCTTTCGGTCCTGGAATTGAACTCACTCCTGTGGGTTCTCAGTTAACAACAGACAGGCCTCCAAGCTAAACACATACACCAGGGAGATGCACTCCTTAGAACAACGAACGATGGGAGATCAGAGGGGCGGCGTTTGCACAGGGAGTAAGGTAGGGAGGCTGGAAGCATAGCCAAGGACACAGGGAGAGGGTAACCACAGGGAGGAAGTAGGAAGAGAGCTGTTACATTGCAGGGATTGTAACCAGTGTCACAAAACAAAATGTGCATGAACTGCTGAATGCAAAACAAGTCTGCTTTGTAAAATTTCACCCAAATCACAATAAAAAATTATTATAATAATAAAAAAGCCATCTTAGGGGGAAAAAAGTTCATTTTATATTATGTGACTTTCACCTTAATTAAAAGAAAAATGTAAACCATATTTGAAGCTTGGCAGGCCATGTGGTCTCTTTTCACATATTCTTTGTTTTCTGTTTGTTTTACAACCTTTTAAAAAATGGGCTGACTCTTATTTTAAAGAAAAAGAGTGGTTAAATCACTCCACATGTGGGATGTGGAGCATGAAGGATAGAGCAGGGCTTGAACCATTTCTTCCCAGTTCAGTCATGGCTGGCGAAACAAAACTGAATGGACCTGAATTTGTAAAATGTGGGTGTATCAGAATGATAACCAGAACAGAAACATTATGAGTTAATGCCCTGCAATAAAACAAGGGCAGCATGGGCATTGCATAGGAACCAGATCTCTTGACTGGCACAATCAGTAACAACGGTGCCCTGCTCAAAGATAGTGACTGACTGTGATGCTTTGAGTGTCGCTCTACACAATCCTGGCAGCAGTCTAGTCTCTCACATCAGGCTCCCTGAAAGGGCTCACTGCACCCCTTCTGAGTCTCCCATTCCAGGCTTTCAACACATAATTTTTCCCGTTCTGGTTATCGTTCTGGTACACCCATGTTTTACAAATTCAGATCTGTTCCAATTTCACTGTGTCAGCCCTGACTGAACTGACTAAACCTCTGTCCTTGGGATAGAGGCTCAGAAACACTGCCACAGAGCAAAGCAGCCCCTCCCAGCTGACCACACATACTGGCAACATACAGACACATACAGAGCACAAGTGAGAATGGTTGTTCCCAGGTCAGGGTTCAGCATGGCAAATAAACAGAGCCCATGGGTGGGATTTATTGCACCATGATGCTTTAGAGATGCACAAGTCTTGACTGGGCTCTTGGCTCTGATATTTGCTCCTGGCTGTGAGGCCTTGGGTAACGTAACTCTGGACCTCATTTCCCCATCTTAAAACAGGGCCAACAGTCCCTCTCTGATAGGGCTATGAGAGCATGTGTGTACAGGCCTTAGCCCAGCGCCCAGCAGGAAACCTGCAGTAACTGTCTTCTATCTGTAATTCTGCTGCTGTCGTATGAATGTTGGTGTCATTATTGAGGACTTGGTGAGACTTTAGGACCCAATGTGAAGGATCTCTTGCTCCCCAAATAGAGTAGCTGGATTTGGAAAACACACACCCACACACATGTGCACACACGTAAGGTGTCGAGTTAAATTTGCATATCAGATTAGCAATGGCTATTTTTTTTTAGTGTAAGTATGACCCCAAACCAAAAACCCCTGCCACTGAGTCGATTTCAACTCATCGTGACCCCCACTGGGTTTCCAAGGCTGTGAATATTTATGGAAGTAGTTGCCTCATCTTCCTCCTGTGGAGCAGCTGGGGGGTTTGACCCACTGGCCTGCTGGTTAGCAGCCAAATGCCTTACCCACTCTGCCACTCTGCTCCTTCAGTATGACCAGCAATGACTATTTTTTCAGTGTAAGCATGTCATACAATATTTTGGACATACTTGTACTAAAAAAAAAAAAAACCTACTCGTTGCTCATAGGAAATGCACAATTCATTGGGCATCCTGTGTTTTATCAGCCAACCTGGACCCCAAAGTGCATCTTCCACCAATTCTACCACTGAACCACCTTTAACAGAAAACGACCATTTGTTCATAAGGGCAGCACAGTTAGCACATTTTCAGTGGGATATCCCCTATTTTCAAAGACCTTTCGGGAACTTTAGTTCATTTAATGAGGTAGGCACACAGATGCAATTACCACTGCCTCCATTTTACAGCCCAGGCAAAGGAAATTCCTGGAGCTTAAATGACTTGCCCAAGGCCACACAGCTCCTAAAAGGAACCAAGCCTAGCTCTCCTGTTTCTGCTGAAGCAGGCTGCTGTGATGGGGCAACATGGCCAAGCTGGAAATTACTGTCTCTTGACCCTATGTAGAGGTGAGGCTTGGATAAAAGAGGAGGGGAGAGAAGATCCCAGAAATAGAGACATGAGGGGCTCAACTTAGCTGGAGTTTGTCCAGCCTCTAGCCCCTGCCTGCCCCACACCTCTCCGGTCCCCAGCCAGTCCCCTGCTCCAATACCACTGTGCAAAGTCAGTTGTTGTATGCCATCTAGTTGATTCTGACCCTCAGCGACCCACCAGGACAGAGTGGAACTGAGCTGTGGGATTTTCTAGGCTGTATTCTCTACAGGAACAGACTGTCAGATCTTTTCTCCTATGGAGTGGCTGGTGGGTACGAACCGCTGACCTTTTCAGTTAGCAGCTTTAACCACTGTGCCAGGGCTCCTTAGGTGAAGGCAGTAGGGCCACCTATCTGTGCTGGGAGTGGAGAGAGGGAGGTGTCTTTGAGAGCCTTTCTCCTTCGATGCTTCTCCATCACAAGGTCGCTCATTCACACTCACCAACATAAGTGTCACTGATCTCTGTACAGTTTGTGTTGTTGACACAGACTCTCCAGACATCTGCGAAGAACTCTTCTCCTACCCACCAGGCCTGTAACATAAAACAAAAGCGGGGAGGGGCTGTCCATGAGTTAGGCAAACACTGACTCCTTAACCAGCTGGGCAGCACCACGTGAATACCCAGGACCTGCACTTTCCGAAGGAGCCCTGGTGGCAAAGTGGTCAAAGCCTTCTGCTGTTAATCCAAAGGTCAGCGGTTCGTGCCCACCAGCCACTCCACAGGAGACAGATGAGGCAGTCTGCTTCCGTGAAGATTGACAGCCTTGGAAACCCCATGGGGCAGCTCTACCCTGTCCTGTGGGACGCTGTGAGTCGGAATCAACTCCACGGCAGTGGGCTTGGTTTGGGCACTTCTCAGTGTGTCGGACTGTGCACAGGGGTCACGTGGGGGCCTTGTTGAAATGCAGGTTTTGATTCAGGAGCTCTGGGGTGGGGCCTGAGGGTCTGCATTGCTAACAAGCTCCAGGTGCTGCTGGTGATGCCGGTCAGCTGAGGGGTGGGACGGTCCGGGCCCTCTGGGAACCTCGGAAGGGAGAGAAGTCTCAGTTGGCAGTAGCAGAGTAGTCTGCCTGCCAGTCGATTCTGACTCTGGGGACCCCAGGAGTGTTAGAATAGAATGTGTCCTGCAGGGTTTTCAGTGGCTGGTCTTTGGGAAGCAAATCCACAGGGCTTTCTTCTGAGGCCCCTCTCAATGGCCTTGAATCGCCAGCCTTTTGGTTGGCAGCTGAGCGCTACACCCTTGCACCACACAGGACCTCCAGGGGAGCAACTGGTGGTGGTTTATTGCACCAGAACTATATGGGCAGTAGAACCAGGAGGTTAGAGAAGGATGAATGATCCACTAAGACTCCCCTACCTTCAGCTCATACGTTCTGACTACCCCTTGAGAGTATGGAGCTCCCACCCTCAGAGGACCTTCCTTCTCCTCTCCACCCACCCAAAGCCTGGTGTCCATGTCTGTGTTCCCTACGACAGCCATGGGCACCACCAGCCATTTAGTCAATAAGTGTCCCTCAGCCCCTCTGCCATGTCCAGCCACAGTGCAAGCACAGTTCCAGACTCATGAACACCCTACCTCTCACTGATTGGCAAGGAGTCCCTTCTGTGTCCTCTCAGTATGTACCATGATGATAACATCCATGCGTGTGCTCGATAGGATTAAGAAGAGCTTTGGCCGATGGTTTTTCTGCCCTCAAAATGTCTATTTATCTCTTTCACTCTGTCTGGGATCTCTCAGGATCCCAAAGGATTAGTTGCAAGAAATGGAAAACCAGAAAACAAAATCAGTTGCTGTCTGGTCGACCCCGACTTGTGGTGACCCTATGTGTTTCAGAGTAAAGCTGTGCTCCATAGGGGTTTCAGAAGTAGATCAGCAGGCCTTCCAAGGCACCTCTGGATGGCTTCAAACCGTCAACCTTTTGGTTGGTATTTGACTGCTTCACCACAGAGGACCTCTGTTAAAAAACTTCACTTATTGCCAGGAGGGGTCGTAACCTGTGCCAATGGCCGGTCATCAAATATATTCCTGGCATATGGCCAGGAGCTGGCCACTACAGAAAAGAGTTAAATTTTTCATGGCAAGAGATGGCTAGGAGAGATTAAGGAAAGTTCCAAGCATGAGTTCTAGTGGGAAGGGCATGGCCAAGCAGGTCGCAACAAGGGATGGTATCTGGTTAGAAGATGTGGGGGACATAGGTGAGGACAGAAGTCACCTGGGGGGATGTAGGACAGTGGTCTTCAACTTGGGGTGACTGTGTCCCCCATAGGACATTTGGCAGTGTCTGAAGACATTCTTAATTGTCACCACTAGGGGTGGGAGTGCTACTGGCATCCATGAGCAAAGGCTGAGGATGCTGTTAAACAGCCCCCTGTGCACGGGGCAGCCCCAAACCAAATACCTATCCAGCCCAGATGTCAGTAGTGCTGGGGTTGAGAAACTCTGACCTAAGGAAGGACAGGATTCAAACAGCATCCTTAAAGAGCTTCCTGAGGCCAAGGTGCTAGGCCGAGCTCTGTGGGGGCATCAGAAATGGGAGGACAAAGGCCCCTGCCCTCCAGGACCTGCCCATCCAGACCGAAACACAGGGTGCTCTGGAATCCCCATACCCAGGTCACGAGTCCTTGGGCCTGGGCAGAGGACACGAGTGTTCTTGGGAGTAAGGACAACCCCAACTGTGGTCACCCTGAGCAAGTCCTCCATCCCACCTCGAATGACTCTGGGAGCCAGGGGTTGTGAGTGGAAGGAGGACTTACATTGTCAATGGTGGCAATGAAGAGCAAGGCCGCGGAGGTGATGTGGAAGACGATGATGAAAGCAAGAAGCACCAACATTTTCACGGGGCAAGGCGGGGCGCGGGGCACTTGTAAAGCCCACAGAGGTGTTCTAAAGAGGGTGAGAGAGAAATTCAAATGTGTCAGTGACAAAACACTTTTGAAAAGAAGCAACTTATAATGGGGTTTTACAGAGCATTAACCATCATGATCATCACAATTGAGAAATGTAACATTGATACAATACTTTCACCTCATCTGTACACCATTTTCACATTTCTCCAATTGTCCATGGTCACGGGGGATGTCAAACTCAACTGGCATAACATACTACACAAAAACGTT